CTCCTCCTCCAGGGAATATCTCCGAAGGTTGGCGAACGGGCAGTGGCCGAAGGCGCCGACCCGAGCCCAGCAGGCAGCAAGGGCCTCAGGTAGTTAGTTCCGGATGTCGCCTCGTAATGGCGTCCACTCCTCTCCACTCCTCCTCCGCCTCCGCCTCCGCCTCCTCCTCCTCCTCCTCTTTCTCATCCACCTCTTCGTCCCCCCCCTTCACCCCTCCTTCTCCGCTTCCTCCTCCGCCCCTCCTCCTCCGCCTCCTTTTTCGCCTCCGCCTCCTCTTCCTCATCCGCCTCCGCAGCTCGTTGCGGGCACGGGTGAAGACCGCCATGAGGGAAACCGATCCTCTGGACTGTCAGACAACGGCTCAGGATGAAGATCTCGTCCTGGGGGAAGGCCCCAGGGTCCAGGACCCGTTTCCCTCAGGACCCGTTTCCCCCATACTGTTGTTCTCCAGGGCCAGTTCGCCGCGAACCGAAGTTGCTGTTCCAAGAGGTCCGCCCACCTCCTCCTCCTCCTCCTCCGCCTCCTCCTCCTCCTCCTCATTCCCCCTTCCTGTTCTCCTCCCCCTATCTCCCCCCCTCCCCCCTCACTCTTCCGCTCCCTCTCCACCACACGCGTGTCGTCATGCAGGAAGTCGGCGTCGGCGGCCTGACCTGCTGTGGACCTGGCCTCTGGGCTGAGGAGAGGGGACAGACGGGGCAGTCAGCTGACGCCCCCTCATTTTCCCTCCACCTCCTCCACCTCCTCCTCTTCCTTGTCCTCCTCCTCCTCCTCCTCATCATCCTCATCCTCATCCTAATCCTCATCCTCATCCGAAGTCTACCCATTCTAAATGTTTCAGCATTCGTTCCTCCTACCCTACTCGGCCTCCATTCATCCCCTACTAATTCCTTTCTCCTCATTCCTCCACATCCACCTCCTAAAATCTCCTACGCCCTCCGTCCTCTCCTCACTCCATCCGCTCCTCCTAGTCCTTCCCTCTCCTCACTCTCCTACTCCGCCCAGCAGCGACATCAGGCTAATATCGTCATCACTCATCATCAAGAGTCATCATCCTCATCATCATCATCATCATCATCATCAATCATCATCATCATCATCATCATCATCATCATCATCATCATCATCCTCATCATCATATCATCAAGCATCTCATCATAATCATCATCTCATCATCATCATCATCAATCCAATCATTCATTATCAATCATCACTCATCATCATACATCAATCCTCCTCCTCCGCCTCCGCCCCCTCCTCCTCCATTTTCCTCCTCCGTCCTCGCCTTCTCCCCTGCCTTTTCACTCCTCTCCTCCTCCTCCTTCTCCGCCTCCTCCTCCTCCTGCTCCTGCTGCTCCGCCTCCTCCTCCTCCTCCTCCTCCTCCTCCTCCTCTACTCCTCCTCTCCTCCTCTTCCCTCTTCTCCCTCATGGTACTGTCTCTCCTCCTCACTGCTCTCCTCCTCCTCCTCTTTTCCTCCTTCCTTGTCATTCCTTTCCGCCACCCCTCACAGTCCCAAATTCAGCTCCATTTCCATCACCCTCTCCCCCTCGTCAGGGGACCCCCATTGGCAGAGGCACAAGAGGAAAAGGACACGCATCAGAGAAGAGGCGCGGATGGTGGAACTGGCACGAGGAGATGGTCGACGCCGAGAACGCGTGGGTGGAGGAACAAGGACCGCGACCTAGTTGACCCTATCATCACCGCCTGGTCGCTCCCCCCGCTTGGAGTGCGGAATGCGCATGCGCGGCTGCCGCCGCGTATGTTCTTGCAGCTGTAGGTCCAGGTGGTACGTGCGACAGGTTCGCGTCGTGGCGACCGGCGGCGACCCCGTGGCCGGCATACAGTTTTGAGCGCCGCCAGCGGCCAGGAATCTGCAGATGTTGAGAGATGCTCAGGCGAGGAAGAAGCACACAGACACAATTCATCGTCGATGCCCCAGAAAATGGAGAGAAGATATGGGAAGTGGGGGGGGGGGAAGACAAGAACCCATAACATGTGGGAAGCTGTGGGGAATCTCTTTGTTTGTGTGTATTTGTTTGTGTGTCCTGAGGCCCCTTCAGATGTGCCATTTCGGAGTCGGCCGACGGTTCAAGATTGAGAGGGACCCCCGCGGTGTCGGGAGCCCGCGCCGGGGTCGACACGAGGAGGGAGGGAGGCAGGAGGAGGAGAGGAGGGGAGGGAGGCGGGAAGGGAGGAGGAGGAGGAGGATGGAGGAGGGAGAGGGGAGGAGAGGAGGAGGAGGGAGGAGGAGGAGGAGGACGGAGAGGAAGGAGGAGGAGGAGGAGGGAGGAGGAGGAGGAGGGAGGAGGGAGGGGAGGAGGAGGAGGAGGAGGAGCAGGAGGGAGGAGGAGGAGGAGGAGGGAGGAGGAGGAGGAGGAGGGAGGGAGGAGGAGGAGGTTGTCAGAAGGCAGCGCCGTACATGCCTTCGTCTTCCCAGACACGTGCCCCGACGCGTGTTCTCTGCTCCGTGGCGCACGGGCTGAGCCTGCCGGCGGCCGCCATGCCTGCAACTGCGACGGCAGGGACGCGGCGGAGGAGGAGCAGCAGCAGCGGCAAGTTGCGGGTGAGGAGTGGGAGGAGGTGGAAGATGCATGAGGGCTTGGCAGAGGGAGGACGTGGGGGAAGAAAAGCCAGGAGGAGGAGGAGCTCGCGAAGGACGAGGACGAGGACAGCGAAGAGAGGGAGGAGGAGGAGGAGGAGGAGGAGGAGGAGGAGGAGGA